AGTAGTGCCCTGGGGGACTATCTGTCTCTCATCTCTAACTCTGCCTGAGACGCCTGAAGGGGTGTGTTGGGAGCGAAACAGCTTTCTTAGCTTGCTGTTTTCTGCTATAGGTTTAGGAGCCAAAAGTTGCTTTAGGATTCAGAATTACAAGATTTCTGCAGACTGGGCTTGTGGTTTCTTTGGTAATAAACAACATTAAAGACAACACTGAGTTGGCTTCTACTGAATTTCTTCTATGAGTTTTCTGAGCAAGTAGTCCCAGTTTTTATATTTAGTCCACAAATCATCTTTAAATGTAACATCTTTTGTATATTTACTGGTTTCTGAATTTAGCCCATCTTGATCTCTCTCACCTTAAAGGAGGCTTACTTTGCTGAAAATAGAAAGTTCGATTGTTAAAGTAATAATGGACATTATTCATTTTTTAATTGTCGGTCTGTATCTATGGCAGAGGCTTGCCAGCTGCCCACCAAAGTCCTGTCTGTCATTCCATGGTGAGATGTTTGCCTTGGAAATGGCTGCCTCACCAGAGACTACATTTCTCAGACCTCCTCTGCATCTGTGTGGGACCGGTAGAGTATGACTGAAAATAGTATGTGTCACCTCAAGCCTCAGATAGCTGTGACTCAGGTGTGCCTTCTTCACACTTCCTCCCTCCCTCTAACTGCTGCTTATCAGTGCCCCGGGGTGACCTTGGTAACCAAGTATTGAATAAGGCATATGTTACTGGTCTCTGAACACCTGCTTGAAGCAGAATCTATGCCCCTGTGATTAGCAATGTCTAGTCTTAAGAGTGTAATATCTAATTTAGGAGTGAGAGAAAAATTTTGTGTGAGAAATAAGATTTCAGATTGTTCATTAAGTTAATTTGTGTTACCATAACTAAGGTAGAATCCTTTTTCTATGCTTAGGGTATTTCCCAGATTAAAAGTTTTACTGAAATGACCAGCTGTTTGCCTTCCAAGATTCTCTAGTACCTCAAGGTGGGTACATAACCCACACCATTCATGAGATTGACCTGAGACCTGGATGTGGGGTGAGAATTAGGGACTGTGGAGAGTCCATTCTGGGCTGGTAGTACTTGGCCAACAACACCCAGATCCCTAGAAATCCCATGAGCTATGCAGTACACCTTTATTGAATTAATTCTGGCTTAAAAAACAGTCCAAATTCATTATCATGGCTCGTCATTCAGAACCATGATTCATTGTCCATAGGAGATGACTGACACAAACCTAAAACAGTGACTCCCGTGACAGTGATTAGATCCAGCAACAGGATCACGGCTGGCTCTCAAAGGCATTTTTCAGTATGTGAAATTTACTTTTCTTTCTTTTCATGAGACTAAAATCATGAAATCTTTTAGAATAAGGAAAATGCATTTGAACTTGTTAGTTGGAAATGCAATTAGCTGTCATTTGAAATGGTATTTTACCAAGAGAATCAGCCCTCAATTCATCATTATGTGCTTTATTATTTCCTAGCAGCTGAAATGAAAAACTGATACTTTTATTATTTTTAGAACATATTAATTACAGAATGACTCTACAATCTGCACACTTTCTCAAGGATGTTTTTCTAACACATATTTCAGTTTTCTGAGTTAATGTACACATAAACACCTTTTAAAATTAGTGATTCAATTAATAACATAGCATAACCTAAAAAATGCTGTCTGTAGTAGAATGGTGGACCATTAGATTTAGTGAAAGACACACCCTCATTTCATTTTGATCAGGGAAAAACATTCTCATAAATGATCGTTACCATTAGTGATGGCATTCAGAAATGAGATGCCCGCATTGTGGACTGTTATTTCTGCTCCTTTCTCCTATCATCCAAAAATCCTTTTGGAAAGCAAAAGAACATCTAAAATATGGGACTTTGTACTTTTTACAAGGATTTTAGAAGCTCTGATTTCCTCTCAAAATATGTAGCTTTCATTATGCATCATTATGAAGCTGTTTACTTCAGGGAATTACAGCTTGTGGTTATTATCCTTTTTACTATTTGACCTTCCATAATCCTGAGCCTATATAAATAATGTACCACTTAAATGCTACAGTGGAATTTTACAACAAATTAATTAGTAATATTACAGAAGAAAGTACATTGTTTAATTTTGCCATAAAAGAAATATCTCAATTTAGTATAATCAAGGGGTATTTCTAATAGTAAATATCTCAGAAGACGTCTGAGAGATTATTAGTATTTTTAAACATAAACTAAGATTTTAAGCTAAATTAAAACTTAATGGCCTGGCCCATACTGAAAAGTATAGCTCTTTCTTCTGTCTTTAAATATAAATATTAATTTTATGAGGCATAATTATACAGATCACAGTTAATTTCAGTTAACAACTATAGTGAAAACAGAAATCCTGGATGAAAGCAGTTTTTGCATATCAGTATCAAATGCATTTCAAATGGACCTTTTTTATTGAAGTATTGTTGATATACAATCTTATGTTGGTTTCAAATATACAACACAGTGGTTCAGCAGTTACCCATATTATTAAATCCTCACTCCCTCTAGTGTATTATTATCTATCAACATAGTAACATGTTACAGAATCATTTACTATTCTCCATGCTGCACTACCGTACCTGTGACCAACTTATTTTGTGACTGCAAATTATTGTGTCCCTTTATCCCCTTCACTGTCCCCCCAAACCCACCTCAACCCCTCTCCCTTGGTGACCGCTAGTCATTTCTCAGTGTATATGAGTCTACTGCAATTCCAATGGACTACTTTAAGTTTTATATTTAATGTTATCTCTAAATGTCCTTTAGCTGGTGGGGATTTTTATTGAAATGCCCCTAGTTTGCTTGAGTAGGACTCTAACAAATTGTTCAGATAGAGTAGAAGGTACAGAGAACTCTGAATAATACAGACATGTCAGATATGTGCTCACAAATAGCCCTAGAGGTGGGACAGAGAATGCAAGGAAGTGACCTCATTCCCCCAGTACCCCTGGGCTGAGATCCAAATCTTCTGATAGAGGACATAGTGATGGCCTGCCGAATGACAGAAGTCATGGCAGTGTCCCACTGGAAGGATTCACTAGAATTCACCCTCTAGGATTGAAGTGTCCTACTGGAGGCACTCCACTACAAAAATGCTCAGCAAGTACTGCTGGCCAGTAGGTGCCGGAGAGCAGGAGAATGCTACAGAAGCCTTGGTCTGGAAAAGCTCCCCCTGCCGCAGGAGCTGAGCTCTTGTGAAGGTGTGAGCACTGTGGTGCTGAGCTCCAGAGAAGCACGAGTGCACACACTCACACTCTGCAGGATCCAGATGCTAGGAAAGCTGAGCCTGCTGCAAGAACTTTTGAGCAAACAAAGCAGAAGCAGTAAGCAAAAATCTTTTCTCATTCAATGTTTCTCTTTCATCATCTGCTGACAAAGATTAAAATTGAACTTGTTAATAAAAGAAATAGATACAAAAGACCCATATATATTTTCATAGAGCAGTATAAAAGAGCAAATATGGTCCTGAGAGGCAATAAATGTATATCCAGCACAACATTGTACCTAAATTAGGATCGAATGTATTTAAATTTGTAGTTGTAATGACCCTGACTTGGGGAGTCAGATATCATAGAAGAATAGCTGAAAGTGAATTGACATGTCTACCAGCATGCTTATTGCTTAATCCCAGTGCTACCACAAGAAGAAAAAAAGACATTTTATCTCAGTGGCTGTAAGTTTCTGCAGATGCAAATTGAAAGAATTAAGCTTACCATTTCACTTGCATTGACCTTGTCGGTAAATGGTTGTTGGGGAGTGCTATATTTAAATTTCCTGTTCCATGTAAATGTGACTAGTCATTTGAAATGAATATATCATTTTATAATATAGCCACTAATAAGAAACAAATTTCGCAGTCAAGGAGAGGCCCGGTAGTATGTATTGTTTGACATATACTAATTGGTCAAATTATATTTATTTAATAAACCTGATTCTCAGTACAGTTCTCCAGAATTCCATAATTTCTCAATAAAGAAAAGGGAAAAAATAGATTTGGGGACATAAGTCACATAAATTATTATAAGGAATTTTCTCAAGAGTCATGTCTAAATGTGTTCAAGGGGAGCACTTCTTCAGCATAAAATTATCATCCAATTTATCAGCATTTGTTGCTGTCCATTAGGTCTAAGATGTGTGTGATAATGTGCGTAAATAACTTTAAGTAGAAACTTAACTGGAATTGGTTTAAATTATTGTGTTTGAAAGTCAGTACAGTTAGACAAGTTTTTTTCTAATTACAGCAAAATAATAAAGGTTCTGTATCTAACAGTAGATTCTTGAATCTGTCATTGAACTTCAGACCATTCAAGTAAATTTAAGGAAAAGAGTGTTTTGTGGAGTTGTTTTAATTATACTTTAGTCTTTAACTATAATTTGAAATGGGCTGGCCATTATCAAATACATGAATAATAAGGTTAAAAAATTATGCTTTATAAGGTAACAGTCCAAGAATAACAACAATCTTTTTATAGGCCAAGATTACAATCTTGGTAGAAACTAGTCTCACCTTACTTGTCTCATCTGACCTCAGTAACCATCTCACCTCATATGAGGTTGAGTGAAAATGTAAGGATCAAGTAATTTAAAGTACAGTTTTCATTAGTTGCAAATAAATTTTCTTTCAAACCAAATTTTTCTGTTAGTTAAGAGGGAAGAAAATGTATAACCTATGGACACTTGGTGAAACATTTAAGTTGGCACCCAGAAACTCCTTGTTTATAGGTTATTTATGAAATAATGGAGAAGGAAAATTGATTTATGTTAGCTTTCTTTTGGACTGCTGTGTTGTTTTCCATTTTAAAAAAGGAAAAGATTAAGGCACAAAAATTGTTAAACCTTGCTCTGGCTAAGTGGAATGTGTCAATTGTGTTTTGTGACTTCTAAAAATATTGTTGTAGGTCATATCTAATATTTTTATTTAATTTCTCTATTTTAAATTTAGTTTAATTCATCTCTCTCTCTCTCTTTTTAAGCTTCTCCATGGGTTGATAACAGTAGAACTCCAAATAAGATTGACCTTTATGACGTACGCAGAAGACCATGGTAAGAATTTTTAGGTAGTCATGAAAAGGTAAAATAGACTAAAGAAGGTTATATTTTTTGTTAAAACATTGGAGGCAGTCTTTCCATTATCAGGTTTAATATTGTCTAATTATTTAAAGACCTCTGCTGTGTGCTTTCTTTCTAATAAAGAAACACATTAAAGGATGATGATGAGTTCAAGTAGACAACAATAGTAAATATTGTTGAAATAATTTATCAAATGCATTGAAAATGGACAACTTTGAGTACTATATTCAATGTTATTTCTTAATGCCTTTTAGCTGGTGGGGATTTCTATTGAAAGGCTCCCAGTTTGCTTGGAGTAGGGCTCTAATGAAGTGTCAAGACAGAGTAGAAGGTAGTTTGCCTCTGGCAGTGAACTAATGGGAGCTGGCCCCTAGGTAAGAGCTGCAAGTAGCTGTAGTCATACAGCTTTACATTTCATTTTTCCAAAAAGGTTTACTGTGGTCCTTATTTTCCTAACATACAACTCATAACTGCATTCATTGGAAAACAACTTTTAAACTTGTGTATTTTTTTTGAGTTTTTTAAAATGTATTTAATGTGTTGATTTTTTTTTTAATGAGTTCACATTGTATACAATATACTGCTTTGCCACCTATTTTTTCATATCAATACCTTTGAGTACCTATTCATAAGAGACACACAATATTGTTCTAAAAGAATGACTATATGGTAACCTATTTTTTAAATCTCCTATTACTGGACATTTGCATTATTTCTGACATTTTGCTATGGTTCAGACAGATTCTAAGACACATTATGGCTGATGCAAAGAAGCATACTTAAATTTTGTGAAATGCTCTGCTAAACATCTCAGTAGCAATTTACACAAACACCAACTATGTGTAATAGTGCCAGATACTAATAACCCACTTATTATTCTTGGTAATATTTCTCAAAGTGTGGTGGCTGTGGGCCATGGGTTGTTGAGTGGAGGCAAAGACTATGACATCACATGGTTTGCATTCAGGAACCAGTTGTTTGAGGGAAACATAGAAGCTGTGTGCCAACCAGAAGAGGGAGACCACATCCTGTCCTTACATCTTCCCATTGAGTGGCATGCCGGGACCATCTGTTAATATCCTAGACATGAACTGGCTTTGCCTCCTATTGGAGCATCTTGGCAACCCTACCCCTTTACCTTCTTATAGAGAAACAAACTTGAGTACCAGTTATAAACTGTTTCACAAACACATAGTCCTGAGTGGATATTAACTGCTGGATGTTGTCTGAAAATGAATTGACAAATTATCTGACAGGTGTCTAATAAGTTAGGTTAGAGTCATGGGCAAAGAGGCTTCAGAGACAGACAAGTAGAAAGTTGAGTTCATGTGCAGCTAGCTCGTCCTGTTGGAGAAGGCAGGCCCCTCTCTGTCTGCCACATCTGTGGTCAGGCAACATGAGCTTTTGGGATCACTTACCTGAATGCAATTCAGTTTATCCCTCTAAGTTGCTGATCTATTTAAATGCAACTCTCCTAGAGCTGCTCTAATATGCCAAGATTCTGAATCTGTGGGATTCAGATTGGGAATCAGAATTTTGAACTGGTTGTCTAAGTGGTTTTCAGGTGCTATAAAGTTTGAGAGCCGGTGCTTGAAACTTCTGGTAATAACATTGTATGTTCTATTTTCAGTTGCTTTATTGTCCCTTTGTATTTCTTTTCTGTTGGTAGTTGCTTTTTCATAGTCCTAGACCTATTTCAGTGTTTATTTTTTTGCATTTAGAAATATGACATATTCTTACTATTTGTTCTTATTATCATTCCTTAGAGTTGAGTTTTAAATCCTGTGGTCAACAAATTAGATGTTAGGATAATTAATTTTTTTCAGGAAAATATCCTTCTAGAAGTTCATTTCTTTTGATCCTGCTATTAAAACACATCTCTTTATCTTTGGTATAAATTATATAAAACATACCTTAACCATTATGCCTCTGACATCTCTACTCTTATGTTAAACACTGCAGTTTTAATTTGATATCGCAGATTTGTCAGTGAAAGAGTGTTGTCTGCTGAGAGTGAATGGAAGTAGGGCCTTTCTTGGAAAAGACTGTCTCAGAGATCAGTAAATATCAAGTTAACAAATATCATGTTTTGATAATTTGTAAGAGGAAAAAATATGCATGTGGTATTCGTTTCAGGTACATCCAAGGAGCTGCATCTCCTAAAGACATGCTTATTCTGGTTGATGTGTGAGTAGTTACCTATTACATATTTGTTCATATACTGAGAATATAGAAAGGATTTATAGAGAACAATAATATGGGTACTGAAAAAAGGTTGGAAAAAAAAGACAAAGAATAATTATAATTATAATGACTTTAATATCCAGACAAAGAAACCACATTAAGGCAGTATCAAAGCAAACAAAATTCTCTGAATGAAAATGAGAAGAATCTTTATTGGAATTGAAAAATATGGAATGTTCCAAATTCCTGAGCTTTTTGAAAAATTACTCATTTGCTTACAGTTTTTTTCATTATGTTTTAAGGAATATTAAAGTCCTTCTAGAAGTTAATTTCTTTTGCTCCTAGTATTAAAACACATTTCTTTATCTTTGGTAGAAGATGTTAGTTCTCATTTCATTTTTTGGAGTGCATTTAAATCGTACCTTGTTTTAATTAAATTATTATGACTTTTTATCTGTGATAATCTTTGGTATTCTTCTTAAGTATAAATCTGAATAGTAATTCAGTATTTTATAATCCAATTGTATATGTATCTGACAATTTCTCATTGAAATTGTTGGAACCTGCATGTATATCTCAAACTTCAAAATGTATATGAATTTGAAATGCCATTTAAAAAAATTGTTGCAACAGAAATATATCGAAGTTCTCCTATACACAGTGTGATAATATAGAGACAAGAATGATTAAGATGCGGTCCCTGATCTCAGAGATAATTCAAATGTATTAGTGAAACTAAACTATATTCCCAAGTAGCTAAAATGATTGTGAAGTACGAGGTATGACACAGCACTGAAAGAGTCCACAGGAGAGATACAGCACTCTGATTTGCAGTGTCAGGAAAGACTTCATTAAGGAGATAAAATTAGAATTGAATGCTTCAGCTAAGCTGTAACAAGGCAAACATGGAAGGGGAGAGGAGACAGAGTGGGATTTCAAGTGGAAGAGTTGGCCAGAGCCAAGTGGCATAGGTGAGAACATTGGGGGAGCTGTGCTGGGGACATGAGGGAAGGAGGGAGCGGGAAGATTCTGAAAGTTTTTGAATGCAGGGCTGTTGAGATTGTTGCCCATTTAGTAGGTAATGTTGAGCTATTAACAGTTTGGATCAAGGTATGTTTCCAGAATTTTCATCTTGTTAACACGAGGGGGAAGAGCCTACGAGCTGGATGGAGTGGCTTTAGGCAGCAAAGACCTGCGCCAGAGTGGAGAGAGGACGGGAAGGAGGTCACTGCCTGGGAGCACCGTGTAGTGGGAGGAATGCGGGAGACTGAATGGGGGGAGGGCTGAGGGAGAAGGAAGCTGCAAGACGGACGAGTCCGGTTGGTGCCAAGAACATAAACAGTAAAGAAAAATATGGGAGTGACTTGTCATTTGGATATTGAGCCTAGCTGTTTAACATGAAGCTGCAAGTATAAAAACTGGGGAAAAGTGAGGAGCTAAAGATGGAAAAGTGGGAGTTGGCCGCCTAGAGATGAGCCCTGCAAATAGATGAGGTCATCCAGGATCATAGACTATGTAGAGACAAGAAAAATACTAAAACCCAGAGAATACCTACATTAGGATACAAAACAAGGCAATTTGTCCACAAGTCAATTATCACAATTGTCACGCTGCTGCATACTGATTGATTTAATTAGGTCCACCAATGGGCTCGCAAGGGCAGCGACGGGACCTGTCACCTCTGCAGCCCGCACTTCTGACTTGGCTGACGAGCTAGTGCTGTGCAGTAGGTGTGTCCTGCATAGGTGAACATGCCATGAGTATCCAGTTTCCCAAAATTGTCACTTGACACATAATTTTCATCATTGTAGTTAGAAATATATATATTTTAATGCTGTAGGACACAGAAAGACAGGCTTTCTTATAATTTATTTCTACTCTATAAGAATATGACTTTTTCTATTACTGATTTTTTAAGGACAAATCGTTATTTGAATATTATATAAATGATCTAGAACAAGTTCATAAGTTGCCTTTCCTTAGGGTGTCTGATGTTGGTCATTAGCATACAGGCACCGATTTTTTTCTTTTTTAATAGGAGTGGAAGTGTTAGTGGATTGACACTTAAACTGATCCGAACATCTGTCTCTGAAATGCTGGAAACCCTCTCAGATGACGACTTTGTGAATGTAGCTTCAGTAAGTATAAGAGGATTCCTTTTTAGCTGAATTAAATTTGCAATTTCTATCTCCCCCCCCCCCCATGAATTTAAATACTGTAAAGTATTTTATCAAAGATAGGCTGAGATATTTCTGACCTATTACTTCTTCCTATTTCTTTTTGACCTAGACTTTCTTACTGTTCTATTTTCTTACTTATTCTCCTATACTTCCCCGCTAGGGTCCATTGTGAATGTCTAAGGCTTTACTCATGAGTGAAGTAATTGAGGTAATGGATATGAAGGGAAAACATTACACATATTCTCCTTCACTCAGAGCAGCCTAAATGGGCGACTTGAACCCCTGTACTCATTGATATCACTGTAACTCCTAATAAGGAACAATGTGGTGGCATAATTATATGGCAATTTTCTCTTCATTATAATGCTCATTTTTCACACTGTACATATCTGTAATGTAATATGCCTTTAAAACATTTCTTTTATTAACACAAGAACCAATCAATATATTTGAATGTGGTTTTTTTTAAGTCTTAATTTCCAAGAACCATCTTCAACCTTCCTGTTCACAGCCAGAGAGTACTGAACTCTGATGCAAATAAAACAGGACAAAATGTTACCATTTTAATTCGTTGTCTCATTTTAATTCATAGAATTTAGGAAGATATTCTGTGGCCATTTATTAGTGGATTTAACTTCATATTTGACATAGTTATATTCATAGAGGTGAAGGGGAGGGAAGAAGACTTTGTGGTGAGGTCATTTTGTACTGAATGTGGGAAAACAGATCCATCTCTGAAACCACTTGGGAGGAAGAAGTTAAAGCAGCTGGGCTGCAATGGACTCACTCCCTTCACTGGAAGGGCACTCCTGGGAAAATATAGTCAGGGAACCAGGTATCAGCTTTGGTCAACCAGAGCTCTGTGTAACTAGATGAATTATATTTACCAAGAGGAAGAGGCTTTATTCATAAAGGGCTTTTAGCAGAATATCCCTGGCTAAGGGTTAACTATCATAAGTAGAATCCAGGATTTAAGACTCCCTTAAAAATGCCCTATAAGTGATGCAAGTCTCTGAGTAATCAACTGGAGATATTTCATGGTTTCAATACTCCTGCTCTACAAGGAACCCTGCAAATGTTTCTGAAACCTCCTTTGGACGGAGGAGTATGTCCAACACAGCAAGAAGGGACCTGGTCTCCTGGTTTTCTAGGGCTGCCATAACAGAACATCACAGACTGGGATATTAACTACAGGTATTTATTTTTTCACAATTCTGGAGGCATAATTCTGAGATTAAGGTGGTGGCAGGCTCGGTTTCTCCTGAAGCGTCCTTCTTTGGTTTGCAGATGGCCGCTCTCTTGCAGCCTCTTCTCGTGGTTATCTTCGGTGCATGCACACCCCTGGTGTGTCTTCCTCTTCCTTTAAGGACACCACTCATGTTGGATCATGCTCCTACCCAGGGGGGCTCATTTTAACTTCATCACCTCTTTGAGGATATTATCCTTGACTTCCATTACGTTCTGAGGTACTGGATGTTGGGACTTCAACATATGAATTTGAGGGTGACGCAAGTTAGCACCTTATACCTGGGCAACTTTCCTCCATGTCCAGATTTTTCCTCTGCTTTATATGAACTTTTAGCAATCCTTTAGCTTGTCTGTATCCTTGATATTACTTAGTAAAACTTGCTATTACATAAGATCTCTGATTCATGTCAGTCTCATTTTACAATCTGAACTTGTGTGTTAGCTCACTACTTATTTAACAAAATGCAATCAGGAAAAATGTAATGCTTGGTCTTGCAAATGGAATAATCAGAAAAGATAGTTATTTAGTTTTATTTATACCTAAATACATTACTTATTACGAGCAATTGGAATGGTTGTTAACAAAATACTATCTTTGGCATAGCACAAGAGAAAGCCATAAAAATACTAAATATGGTAAAGATTTGGTATATATAGTGAAATTTACATAAGTCTGGCAGATAATAAATACGATTAATGTCTTAACCTGGCTTCCTGCTGATCCTCACTCATGATTTCAAGTATAAGTAGTTCATTCGGGACATGATTGCAGGAAACACTACTAGTTAAAGGATTTGGGAAAGAGGCCCGGGGAGGAAGGAAGCAAGCCAACTGAAAGGTCTTAATTTGATATAAAGGAGCTTAACCCTACTGAGGAATCTTAAAATAAGAACTTGAAAGTGATTTTGCCTAAAGGCTGAAGGAACTTGTGTTTAAAGTAACCAGCCTTCCCCACGGGTGGACACAACAGACTCTGGCCACGAGAGGGAGACCTGAAGCACAAGTCCAGGTGACAGTGGTTAGAAACATGGCCAGTGTCCACTGTATCCAGTCACTGATCCTTGAAGATGGCAGTGGATCACAGTTTCCTAAAAACAAACACAGTAAGTACATCAGGAAGGTGGGCTGCTAGAGTTAAACCAAGTTCTTAATTTGTATTCATCTTTTCTCTCCCTGAATACCCTTTCTCTCTCTTAATCTTTTCTCTCTTAACCTTTAGCCAACTCTTGAGCTGGAAGCTTGCTTGGGGGGATGACCCAGGTGTTTATCCCAGAGGCCTGTGAATCCATTGTTTCTATATCCCCAACAGTGGTTCTTATAAGTGTCCATTCACAGTTAACACCAAGCATGGACGTGCTTAAATGAATCCCTTGAGTTCTATGTATGTCTCCCCTGCCGCACTGTATAACAGCAAACCTCATAATAATCTTCTTATCAACTGGAGAATTTTTTCTCTCATGTTAGTTTACTGGCATGAGAAACCTGAAACATTTAGATAGTAGCTGCAGATTTAGGTTTAATGAAATTCTTACCGTGACCCTGCTAGAAGCACTGCATCACCTCTACACCTATATGCACACACTTGGAATGCAGAACATTTATTTCAGTAAAGCCTCAAGTTGCAGGGAAAGATACACAAATTTCCCAAGTGAATTATGGTGAGAGAGGGGACATTCCTGCTTCCTTCCCTTGAGTCCCACACTCATTCTGTCTTCTTGGGGCAGAACCAGTGTGGAGAGGGGAAACCTGATTTGTATCATTCGCTCCTTTTTGTAATATAAGTACTCCCATCTTGGCTAATTTTTTGCTACCGCTTCTAACATAAGCTCACATAAAGCTCAACTGGCTTTTAAGATTCCTGGAAGTTTAACCATTGTTTTTTATGAGCAGTTACCAGCATATCAATAAATATAGCACTGTGGTTCAAAGTACATAATGTATCTGGAAGGATAATGTTTCAGCTCAAAGACTGTCATCTCTAAGATGGAGCTTAGATGCACATTTAAGAGACTGTCCCAAGGTTGTGTTTTATTAGGCTGGCAGCTTCGAAGTGACACAAAATAGGGTAGAGCTAGTGGATCTATGGTCATTTGTCCACTATTGGACCTCCTTTACCATGAAATAGGTTGCTTGGCTGAAGAAGCTCTTTTTACAGGATCCCATGATATCCCATGATGATAAATCAGGCAGTATGTGAACTGTAGGATTAGTAATACTGGTTGAGACACTGTGAACAGGAAAGGGGAATTTGTAACTGAAATAGTATCAAAACAAGAAAAACAAAATTCATACCCTGCCAACAGGGATAAAATTGAATGTAATCTATTTGGCATCAAGTTATTGTTTGTTTTTTACAAAGGTGACACTGTATTAAAGGCACAATGCATTGGACGACTGATTTCCAAAGGGATGAATTCAGTAGAAGTAGCTGTATCACACTTGGTGAGAAGTAGCCCATGCTTTTAGGCCCACAGATATCCTATCTGCACTACCTGGCTGCTGACTTTATGGGCCCATTTGCAAACACTATAGTTGTTACATACAGAGGCTGGATGACCTTCAGTGGACAACTCATCCACCCAGTTGTTTATTATCTCCTCTATGATGAATGCGCTTCTAATGGTCATTGATAATGAGACAAGAGGGCAGTCCATTTCATGCCTACCTCCACAGGTCCATCCTCATGCTTCTCCAGAGCTCTTTGTCTGTGGAAGTCTTCCAGTCTTGCTCCTTCAGGGGCATTTGCCAGCCAGACAACCCTTTGCAGGAGTCCATGTGTTTTCTTATCTCAGGCTACTTGCTCTTCCACACTAAGTTGATGACCATGTGTATTTTGCCTCAACATCCATTTCCTGACATGTTTTCCTACTACCTGCTGATTCATAGTAGGTAGATCTTGGCATCTCTTTTATTGAATGTTCTCTTTTTTGTTTTCCTGGAGCAGAGACTATTCTTCCAGGTGGGCCACACTGTGACCTGCCCTCTATGTGGGGAGATTGGATCAGAGCTCAAGGGAGAGTAAATGCTCTCTTTTAAGGTTTCCAGGAAAGGAGAAATTAATACTCCCTAAGGGAAAGAGGTTAAGTCTGCGTCTCCAGAGGGCATAGGGGAATCTGGAAATTCAGTATTCTTAGTTGCATCCACCCTGATGTCCTTATTCTGCTCTTAGGGTCCCTTTCTTTGCCCATCAGTGCCTTCATTTTTGCAGAGAAACCTGCCAAGGCTGTGAATACAGCTTCCTTTATAAATATGTGACTTTCAAAGCAAATTCTGTGCCTGTTTCTAGTACACACTGACCCTCTCACAGCAGGAGATGAGAACTCCATGTGCTGCCCTAGAAGTCTTTGGGTTTTCACACTTTGCCCTTCCTTGATAATTAGCTGAACTGAGGTGGTCATTTCTTCCATGAATTTAACAGCAGCCAACCAATTCCAAGCCCTTGTAATCACTGTTGTCACCAAAATTGCCAAATGCTTCAATCTATATCGTGTTCCAATCACTGCGAATGGAAATCCTAGATGAAAATTGGGATGCTACAACCTTTGAGGGGTTTTCTTTCTTCCAGTTACCAGTGAAGTCTCTTCATCACATGGCTGGCAAATAATTTAATTCTAGAAACCCATCCTGAGATTCTGCTTCCTAAGGCCACAGCTAGTATCAACCTAGATTGGGTTTCCCCCAAAATAGTCCCTGAGGCAAGGATTCAAGTA